GAGGCGGGCTAGGTGGCGGCGGACTAGGCGGTGGTGGGTTAGGGGGGATAGGACTTGGCGGTGGTGGGCTTGGCGGTGGTGGGCTGGGTGGTGGCGGGCTGGGAGGGTTGGGGCTCGGCGGCAGAGGGCTGGGTGGGCTGGGTGGGTTGGGTAACCGAGGTCCTGGGCTGGGAGGTACTGGGCTGGCTGGAGGTTGGTTAGGCGGGCTAGGGTGAGGAGAGGGTGGAAGGGGCGGACTGGGAGGCTCTGGACTCGGCGCCATTGGGTCTGGAGGATTTGGACTAGGCGGCGGTGGGCTGGGCGGTGGGGGACTGGGTGGTGGGGGACTGGGGGGAATAGGGCTTGGAGGCGGTGGGCTAGGTGGGGGTGGGCTTGGCGGTCTGGGACTGGGCGGGTTAGGTTTTGGAGGCGGTGGGCTTGGTGGGGTTGGGCTGGGGGGGGGTTGAGGTGGGCTACGAGGGGGAGGCCTGGGTGATGGTGGTCTTGGGGCGGGACGCACCGGGGGAGGGTTCAACCGGCAGGTAGATATGGCGGACAAATCGACCATGACTCCACAGACCCCACTTCCGATGTCACTGCTGGAACAGGGGCTATCGGAGAGTCCACAGCACTGGCCCGCACCCAGGCCGATTCCGGAACAATTCAAATTGCCCGTGATTTGTGTGTCATAAACCTGAGAAGGGAGTGAGGGACGCAGGGCAGCAGGGAAGCGAAAATCGGAATGGAGGGTCGCGTTGAGGCACATAGAGTATCATGGCGGAGGCGACAGCCAATCTCTGGCCGTCTTGCACATAAACGGGTGTTAGCTGTGCTGCTGCGCTTATTTGCTGTCCTCAAACAGATTGCGATTGTACCTCCATGGCCCCAAGGAGGACGGCGAAAGGATGGTTGGTGCATGCTACTGCTGATGCTGCTGCTGCCCCTGCGGCTGCTCGTTGGTTGCGAGGTGGTGCTCTCTGAGGAAGGAGCGATTGGGTTGTCCATAGGATGCAACTGGCTTAAATCAGTAGGCAGAATGACTTATTCTCCGAGCGCAGATGTCCGGACTTCTCATAACACTCCACCTAAGGCGGCTGATTCAGCAAGCACCCTGCTGTGTTCGGCTCATTAACCCCTTAGGCGCAACCATTCAAAATTGTCCAATACAGCAACACAATATTAACCAACCCAAGGAGGTAAATCTACAACAAATGTACGGGAGAACATACGATGTACGACAGTCACGCGCCGTACCTGCAGCGGGAGTAAGGTGAAGCTGACAGGGATGTAGTAGGAAAAGAACGTCGCGCCCTCACACTTGCCGAAGTCCGTTATGGTACCTGCCGGACCGCACCCTGTTGGGACGCACTGGCTGCTGCGGCAGCACACCCAGCCGAAGGTCCCGCCATTGCTCTTGCAGGCACTCATGTCCACGGTCACCGAACGGGCCGCCGTCCCGGTGTTAGTGCCTGTGCAGCTTATGGAAATGCAGCTGGTAAGGGTGGTGCAGTTAAGACAGGTGCTGCTATTGGCGAGCAGCCCCCGATGCTGATGATAGATGTGGTCGCGGTTGTGCTGTCGCTGCTGCTGCCGAAGGGCACCAGAGGACTCAGCTAAGGGGGGCAGTCCCGCGGCTGCCGCCTCTGCTGGGGTCGCCGCCAAGCCGAAGGTTGGTGCGACAGCTGCTATGCCTGCTGCCTCTGGCCTTGCTCCTTCACGTACTCCTGCTCCCCCTGCTGCTCCGGGTCCTACTGCTGCTGCTAATCCTGTTGCTCCTGCTCCTGCTCCTGCTACTCCTGCTCCTGCTCCTGCTCCTGCTGCTGCTGTGCCCGATTCTGTCCTTGTCCCTGGTTCTGTTCCTGCTCTCCGTGTCACTGCTGCTCCTCCTGCTGCTCCTGCTCCTGCTCCAGCTCCTGCTCCTGCTGCCGCTCCTGCTGCTGCTGCCGATCCCGATCCCGATTTTGCTGCTGCTGCGACTGCCATCAGAAGAAGCGATAGCAACAGCCGGGATGTCGTGCATGCCCGCAGGGAAATAAAACGTCCGCAAGTTGGGTGGCCATGGCTGCTGGACGCCAAGGCAGATATCGACATCAGCCAATGTTGTCGAGTATGCAGTGTCTGGCGTCGGTCTTGATGATTTTGCTTGTATTCTACAACGTTTTTGTATTTGCACCGCGATCTCATGGTCGCGGCGTCGTTTCTACTCCAGCGCTGCGACAAGAAACGTGCTGCAGCCGGCCTATTTCACTCACAATTTTTGGGCTCTGAGACCATATGTATTCAGTAAGGTGTGTTCTTGTGATGAACTACAACTGGTAAGTGGCGCTATTGGGGTCCAGCTCACAACAACCAACTAAATAATGGCCGACGATGTCAACAAAGCACAGGTGTTTCATAACTAAATCCATTCATTCAGACTTCAAATCTGTTTCGCGCGTCTAATGCACGTGAAATGCTCCTACACGTTACTTTCGACGCCTTACGATAGGAGTTAGGTTGCGGAAGCCCAAGTGACCAATTGCCGAAGCTAGCCATTTCGACTTCTATCTGGCATCCTAGATAACTAACCTATGGATGAAATTATTTTTATTGCTAATACATTCTGTATAATCCAGCTCTGCGCACCTCACAGCCGGCCGACCGTTAGCTGTTTTTTAATCCGAAGCTATCCAATAACAACGTGTTCGACCACCGGATTGCTGTATTACTCCAGGCATGCAGTAAGATCGATCAATAATCATCTACATCTCCGATTGTCCTGGTTAACGTTCAGCTGCTAGTGTAAGTCAGCTAAGTCAGTTTTCCGACGTTTTCCCATCTATTTAAGCCCAATTAGCTGCAGGTGCATAAAGAGCCCACTTGACTTAAAGTAGGCAGGACGATATTCAAGAGATATCGAGTAAATGATTCCATGCCAGCTTTCACCGTTAGAATCCGGCGAGCACTAGAATAGCCGCGCCGGCAGCCACACGCACCTTTCAGTCTTTGCTAGTTCGTAACAATATTGTAGTGACGCAGCTAATCTTTGTCTTACAGTACGCAGGAACGACTTGAATTCCATGTAAGGTTTAGTGATTGAGCTGGCACGTCAAATTTGCTGGTGGGGTCTTAGGTGGGTTTGCCTGCTTGCATTATCTTGCGACGCAATCCTCTGCATGTGGCGAGGCCCAGAAATGGGTCCCTGTCGCTTTCTGTAGCCACGAAGCTGTAAATTTCCCTGTGGCATTACCAAGCAAGAAGATTTTCCAAGAGGGGGTATCAAGTCACCATATTTCAACTGCAGCTCAACCGGCGTTTTAGTGATGTGATCAGAGGGTGAGAAATACGGCTAGGGAGTGTCTGGGAGTGCAACCTTGAGCGGGACCTTCACTTGGCTGCGCGCACAATCTTTTCCCTGGCCCCATCTTAACTGTTGGACAGTGCCACCTAACTGCCTGCGGCCGGCATACCCGCCAGCCCAGTTTTCACGGTACCCCAGCGCCGTTTGGCTACCTTCGACATGATCCTTCCGCCATCTATTTTTCCTACTCCCCTTGCGATCCGTGGCTGGCAGTAAAGACGGGATCCTTTGGTATCTTCCCTGTCCTTTCCTATGTGCCCTTACTTCTGTCCGGATATTCAGAGGGACGCCCTAGAATAGGTTGAGTACCAGCAGTTCCGAGCCAAAGATGCGTTGTATTGGTAAACAAAGGGCCCAACCACACGGGCTTACGAGATGGTTAGCAACATAATACTTGCTGCAAATTTTTAAACTCGTTGCGTGTATGAAATGTTGCTGGCTTTATAACCATCATTGGATTCCCGGGGCACATTGCGTGCGGTAGCGTGCCCCGCGTGCCGCTGTACCCGCTGCATCGTTGGCACTCGTTGGCCCTGCAAAGTTGCCCGACAAAATGCGCAAAGCCACAATATGCAATGCATAAATTCTCCATATATTGAAGTCTTTCCGTCTAATGTTTACATACCGGAGGTTCATCCGTCTCCAGGCGGTCTACATGTGGAGCACTACAGCTGCACTAAGAACTAAAAACGCATACGAGTCTTACATGTAAAACCAATCTCAAAAGCTCAACTATTAGCATATAGACTTATAATTTGCATAGCTTAGCGACGGAGTGCTGGCGATAGCTTTCGGGCAGCCCTGCGAATGAAACGGCCAGCCGCGCAGGCAAGATTGCTGCAGCGTGCAAGCAACGGAATGATTCTCTCACAAATATCTATAATTTTTCATTGCTATGGCAATACAAGCAGCTCAAACAGTTCGTGTTCTGAGTTCCTGGATTCGGAGCATGTTTTAGCTTTTTAAACCAAGGAAGACTCCACGCGCTTCCTGAAGGCAGCATGTCTTGTCAATTACATTTCGACGTGCTTAAGCAGCCTCTCGCACAAATGTGTCCGGTCGTACTTCGCGAATAAAGCCTAAGTACACTCGTCCAAAAAAAGCCAGGAGCAAATTTTGCCGCGCAGATACGCGCGTACGATTCGCAAAATGCGCCTGTACAAGTGTATATAAAATTTCTTGGCGGATGAGGACCAGGTGCGCCAGCGCGTTGCGCAGGTGGGCATGTTGGCCATAGCCGCACGCTGGACTATTGCGTGGATGCTTTGCAGTAAATAAAAGCACCTAAAGCCAACGTCGTAGCT